GCCGGCCCAATGCCAGGTTTTTGTTTTGCAAAATGCCTACTACTTTTAGCTGAGATATGTAACCAGAAGGAAAGAGCTGAATTGCTTTGCAGGATTTATATAAATGCTTTTGGGGAAGGATGAGAAGGGCTTTATGACAGTGGTCAGGGATAAAAAAATAGAAGAAAGATATCTAGTCTGAAAAGTCAGATCAAATTTTTCTGTTTGTATTCACTGCTTTTTCATCTTCCCAAGAAGACTTTGGTAAAATCTACATCACTTGACAATGCTTTTGGAGTTGGGTGGGGGTTAGAGGGGGTGGGATTGAGATGTGATGAACTGAAATCCAGCTGTATTTGACACCAAAGCCTCATCTCTAAATTTAAAACATTTTCATTTGGTATTTGTAGCTTAAATATACTTTAAAACAAAAATAAATAACATGGACTAAATTGTAAAGCCAATAAAGTTGTTTTAGGAACCCAAAAGTAAAGCAAAAGGCAAATTAATTTTAATCCCAGGAAGTTATCCCAACATGCATTTATCTTTTCATAAAAAAGTATACAAAAATACCCCCCAAACAACAACAAAAAAAAACACCAAATAAGAAAGGATGAAATATTTTTCAAGCCTTTTAAATTATTGCTGCTGAGAAAGTGAATTTTAGTAATTTTCTAATTATACCTATAAAACTGATGATTGCCTCTGACTGACAAAGGTTTGGCTATAAAAAAAACCAGTTTTATGTGATAGCAAAAACTAGTAAGTGTTTTGAAACTTGCCCCAAATTATTTTCGTAGCTGTGTAAACTACTGTACCTTTGAAATGAGTATCAAAACTACACATTTTTATATGAATGATTACAGTGCACTACTGGACTTCCAGTGCGATCATTATTACTGATGCACGTTACAAACAAGAAGAATAAATAAATTATGGGATGTCTGACAGTCTTTGTTTCAAAACTTTTTAACGCGAAAGGACCAAACCCCCGTGTTCATGTTGAGGGGTTTGATTCAGTCCTAAGTGTGTCCAGTCACCAGGGCGCACTGCTCTTCCCATACTGGCTGCAGTGGCAGGAGGGAGGGTCGCTGGCTGGCTAACTCGCTAGGCACGAGCTGCAGAGTACGTTAATGTGCACTGGTATCTGGAACCTCGGTTTTTCCCATCAATGAGCAGAAGTGGCATTTTCCGGAAGTAGTCGATAATATCTGACACAGAGAGGAAGTCCTGAAAGATTCAAAATAGGGAGGTAAATCAGCACTGAAATGGATAGCATGAATTTCGCCCTCAGTTTTTATCTGTGTAATATCCTACCTCTTAAAGTTATGAGAATTGTAGGGGAAAACCTGTGTAAAATTTGGCAAATATTTTAATGATTTCTGCTATAGAACTTAAAAAAAATAATTCCTCACCGACATACAACAAACCAGGAATAAAAGACTATATATATTCTAACCTCAGATAGAAGTCATATATGCACAGGGGTTTAATTATGATACCCTTGCCATGGGAATGCTCTTGGTTTGTGTTTTTGGTTTCTGTATCCCACCTTCACTCTCCGTCATTAATAGTGTGAGGAGGTATAAGGAATGAGAAGGTCAGAGAGTGTCCCCGGAATCTGAGGTGACATCTAGAGCACGGTACAATAAGGAATACAGTTCCTTCATGTTCCCTCTACTGTGTCCCTGTCACCACCACAGAGCCAAGTCTGTGCATTCATTGCCTGGGTCACCTAATCACTGATGACCAGACTGGACAAAACCCCATTCATCCTGCTAGACAGGGGTCAGAAGCCCCCTCAGTACCCCAGAAAGGACCATGCACTTCCAGACTTCTCTGCTAGGTGCCTCCCTCTGGGGCNGTTTTACTTTCTTTGACAGTGGCTTTGGAGTGAGAGAGAGAAATAAGAATCAACCCAACTCAGGAAACAGCAGAGGCGAGGAAGTAATTTCAAGGTGAGCTTTCATAGGTGGGACAAGTCATAAGCTGCCTCCTCACTTCCCGCCTTCCACGTTGTGGGAGTTTTGTGTACTGAATGTGGCGTCTTTTTCACGTCATTTCGAGAGATTTGAATGGCTGACGTTAGAGTCTAGTGAATCAGTATCTGACACAATTGGTTAAATGGATGTACTGTATATATAACATAGTAACACATTTTGATTTACACATTCCAGTCAACCAAAAGTCAAATGTGAGTTGTCCCAATCCCATAAGCTAAAACAGAAGTGGTTGTTTTGCCGTCTTAGTCAGTGAATTCATTCATTCATCTTAGCCAATGAAGTATAACTGAATTTAATTTTGAATTTTACCATCTGTTCAAAGAGATTGTATGTGGACCATGCCACTCAAGAATAAGTTAGAAAAAAAGACTGACTTGCATAAACAAAATTAGAGGTCCTATACGATTGATAAATTGTAAGGTAGTTTATAAGTGTTGAGGATTTCTGCATTTCCGTTATAAGGGCCCCATCTTGTGGCTATGGTTTGATTAAAGAAGAAACCTCACCCTAAGTATTCCAGGCAGAAGTGTTTCCAGTTGAGAAAATATTAACATAAGTTGATGCCTCCTTATGTTAGAATTCTAACCACTTATAAAGACCATTATTTCACAATCATTTCAATTCTGAAATAGCAGATTTTCCTTTTAGAGATACTGAAAATTTAACTATTTTAAAAGTACACGTAAATACTTCAGATTTATACATTGTGTTTTTTTTCTCCTTTAAAATCAGATGTTTAGGAATAATACTGACCATAAGCTAAAGGTGGAAGCCATAATTAAAAACATTAACACAATTTCTTTGGAGCTGAAGAAGATGAAAGGTAAGTATGGAATAACTATATTTAAATGTATGCATGTCATGGTTATAAAATAAATAGCCAGTTTTTGCTTCTGCTGGGGTCTAAGTGAATTTTGCCCACTAATTAGGATTTTTCTATTTCTTAAGAAATGCTTCCGTTAATATGAAGTAGGTCTCTAAAGATGAGTTATGTTTGAGTATTGATTGACCAAGGAGTTAGCAAACTTGAATTCCTATCCTTGACAATGACAAGCTTATGACGTCTGACTAACCACTGTAAATCCACTGCCCTTCGCTAGCTACCCGTAACAAAATGCCACCTTACCATGGCTTAGATAAAAAGGAAAATGATGAGGAAATCCAAGGTAGGGCTCCTCAAGTGAATTCAGAGTTCTGAAGACTTCATTAGGTACCGGGTTCTTTCTGTATTTTAACTCCGTGTTCACTCTGTGATGACTCACTGTCATTACCTGCAGACACGGCCGTTACAGATCCTCTCTCTGCCTGTGTCTGTATCAGCCTTTCCCCAGATCTCTCCAGCACATCTCCCCTTTCCTTTCCTTGGTCAGAGTTGCATCACATGCATATGACTGCAGCAGCCACCGCCCAGGGGAATGGGACTGCCAAAACCAATTTGGACCAGTCAGGACTTAAATGCTGGAGCTGGGGAGAGGATCACCACGAGTGGAATACAATCGTGCCAGGAAGAAGAAGAGGGCAGTGGCCTTCAGTTAGGCACCAAATAGTGAGTGCCTGTTACACTGTTTCTACCTGCTCTCGCTAGGACAGCGTTCCCCAGACTGATCTGTGAACGCTGCTGTCTCAAGAGATGTTAATAGATAGTATGCAATCAAAAAGTCCACGTTCTGATGGTCAGATAAGTCTGGGAAGTGCATTATGCTCTATAGTTCTCCCACAAGTTTACAGTACATACTAACAAAGGCACAGAGGAGTCTGATGTAAAGAAACCTGGTTTGCTTTGCTTAATCATCTCTCAAAACCAATCTCAACTCTATAGCAAGGATTATCTTTCTAAAATATAAGTCTGCTGAAAACCCTCATTGGTTCACCATTGCCCTGGGGATAAAGTCCAAACCCCCCAGAATGGACTGTAAGACCTCTTGAGATCAGGCCCCTACCCACCTCTCCAGTCTCATCGCATTATTTTTTCCCCTGCACGTTCTATGCACCAGCCATACTGTACTATGCACATATCTACACATCTGCTCTGCGTCTGTGCCTTAACACTCGCGTCTCCTTCTGAGATGCCCACCCCTACCTCTCCCGCACAGGTTAACTGCTCCTTATCGTATTAGTCAAGGTTACTTAGTTACGTTGGAAAACTTTTAAGCCAGCATGTGATCTCTTCTACTTTTCAGATCACCTGTCACACTGTGTTATAATTGCATGTTTGCCTACGTTTCCTATCCCCACTCAACTGTAAGTTCTTTAAAGTATACATAGCAGCTAACACAGTGCCTTGCTATAATAGGTTCTTGGAAAATGTTTATTAAATGAAAAATTGGTTCTGGATGCTTGCACTCACTTAAAGCAATTAGAGAAGCTTTAATCTCTCCCAAACTTGATCATCTAACTGTTCTAGTTTGGGGACTATTCTTTCATTAGTAAAATAGAAATAAAAAATATGATATGTGTGTTCCTGAAAAGATGTGGGTAGGTTAGGCTGTTAGGCCACCAGGGACTTATAGAGCTAGACTCGGAAGTTAAAGATGGAAGATTAATGAACACGGTTTACCCCACGTCCTCCCAAAAATAATAATGTCAATAGATAACACATAACATTTACCATAATTCAAGTATTCTTCTAAAAGCTTTACATAAATGGATCAATTGTCACAACAACCCTATGAGGTAGGGAATATTACCATTGGCATTTACAGATTAATAAACAGACATGGAGAGGGTAACCAACTTTCCTAAGGTCACACAGCTAGTTACTGGTCGATCTGAGATTTAAATTTAAAGTGATTTTAAGCAGACAAAAATCTATAAGATAAAGAGCTCTCAAAAAGAGTTAACTACAAACAGAAAGCAAATGGAAGCAAACAGAGAAATCTGAAC